TGAGTGTGTGTGAGGCCCACTCGTGCACGTTGGTGGCTTTGGCCCTGCCCGCTGTCATCCCCTCTCGGTGGAAATTGCAGGCCTGCTACTGGGCAAACACAAACAAAGTTTTATAGTATGGAGTTCCAGGCGTTCCAGGAATTAACATGTGGGAGCAGGGGTGCTATTGTTCTTGGAAGATGGATTCCTCTGCATTCCTGGGTATGCAGAAGGGGTTTGTACAATGCAGAAGAGGCAGAGGGGGTGAGGGAGAGAGAGAGAGGAAAGAGAGAAAGAGAGGGAGGGAGAGAGGAGAGAGAGAAACAGATAGAGATGATAGAGGAGGCAGAGAGAGAGAAGGAGGAGAGAGGGGGAGAAAGAGAGAGCAAAGTTGTGTAGCTTTTAAGTCACCTCAGCAAATTCAGGATTTACTGAGAGCTCAAGATACATCATGCTGATGAACCCCACTCCATTCAGCCCTTTAACCACAGAAAGGGGTATTTTAAGAAATTTACGAAGTGGAAGGCGTGCTTTGTTTGGATTCAGTCCAGCGTTCCTTTGCCATCAACAGATTTGCGTAAACTAGCCCCTGGAAGATCAGGCAAAGGCTGCAGTTTGGAGGTGTTACGTTCTTCTAGATCATGGCGACATTCTAAATGTTTATGCTTGTGGTATATTGATTATAATATTAGATGGTGATGACTGCATTGCCTTGCCTAAATCATTCGGGGAGTTCGGTTTTCTTTATGAAAGGAGCAGGGAATTTTAACGCTGCTGCCAGAAGCCATTTCATCATGTGTGAATGCTTCATACTTTTCAGTTAAAATTCCAAAGAAACTGTAGCGATCTGTCAGCCCTTTAAACAAAGCACTTTAGCTGGTTTCCAATGAAAGCTTCTATTTGAGGCTGTGATTGAGTTGGTGTACACAGTGCCAGCGGAACCTGCAGGCTGTAAAATAGTTTTACGGTCCGCTTTGTGTTCCAATTCCTCCCTCCAGTTTCCCAGGCGCTCTCCAGAAACAGTGATCTTCTTCAATCAAGTGACTGAAATCTTAGGCGTGGGGATCACTGATATCCACACTCTGCACGCAAGGCAGTGGAGAGTAAGTGACAGGGATGGCCATCCCATGAGTGGGCGGGGCCAAACTTCTGGCCACTTGAATTTGCAGGAGGCGTTTCTTGTGAGGGGAGGGGCAATGGGTTGAGTTCAGGTGCTGGTTCTATCTTCCCTTTACTTGAATTTCTGCTATGTCCGAGCACATGGGTTATTTTTAAAACTGTCAGTCACACTAGAAGTTAAGGTCAGGAGTCGGGACTAGTGGGCAGGGAAGACGACACCAAATAGTTAGCTTGGCTGCGCTAAGTTGCCTTTACCGTAAGATCATGCCAACTCATCCAGGGCACTTATGCCGACCTCTGCTGTTTGAGTTTATCCAAATGCGGATTCATCTGTGCCGTCTTGGGATAACTGGGCTGTCATTTGTAACCCCTCACTGCTCCGTCCACAAGCAGGGCAGCAGTGACACCTCCACAACTCCAGGGGGCGCTAGCATCTGCTCAGACCACACATATATCTGTGGGCCGCCTCTGCATCCTGCATGCTGGGATCTTGGCTTTGATTGCGCCTCAGCCTCTGTATACGGCTCCCCGCCGGCGGTCTGACGGGCCCCGACAGGGAGATCCTCGCCAATCGCGCAGCTGTGCTCCCTCCGACGACGTGACCAGGAGCTCGCATTCAATTCTCATTTTTCTGCACCTCTTTTTCGCATTATTTCTCTGGCTCAGGCTGTTTTGGATTTGGGGCTCGATTATGAGTGATGCTTGTATGTAATAAAAAAAAAAACTTTTTGGTATGAATAAGTGTGAAACCGCTGGAGTTCACCCCTCGCCACCACATCTCACACGTAGACTGTTATCAGCCAGAGACGTCAGCGGCTGCTGGAGAACCAGCCCAGACGGACTTGATGTTAAAATCCGCTTTGTGAAGCTGTGGTTTCTACAGAAAGAGACGGGGTCACATGCTGGCTGTTTTCTGGAGCTTGTATTTTGTCACTACTTCACTTCTGATAGTAGCTCTGTGGCAAACCTGTAGCCTGCCAGTACACATGCTTTCTATTTTTATTACCCTTTAATACACTTTCATATAAACCAACTCGTGATTTTACTGATTTTTAGATGTATTTCTGAAGAATTGAGTCCAGTCAGGAGGCATCGCCTTGGGAACTGGTCCATCTTGACACACGAGCTGTTTGCAGGGACGATGAATAGGTTCATCAGTAGAATGGTGTTAAGTTTCATGGAACGCTCGGTGCCATCGTTGAACCTGTCCAGCTCACTGCAAGAAACAAAACCAAGGATCAATATATGGATTAGAGTAGTGTTTCCCAATCTGATCCTTGGGGACCTGCAGACAGTCCATGTTTTTTTGCTTCCGGTAGGGAGCTGGGAGGGAGCAAAAACATGGGCTGTCTCAGGGTCCCTGAAAAGCAGTTTGCGAAACACTGGATTAGAGGAGAGACATACATCCAAAGACATTTCACAAGGGCAGGGGTTAATTATCCTTTTGTATATATGTGTGTGTGTGTGTGTGTGTGTATATATATATATATATATATATATATATGTTGCTGAAAACAAAATGTCTGCTTGACAGAGCCTGCTTTACTGCCTTTATTGAGTTAACTGGATCCTGATTTGCCCACCAGTATTGTATTCTGTATTCAACAGAGATCTTTTATATATCCAGATTAGCATGATAATACCCATACCGGGGAATTGCTAATCAGATTTCCTCTGCGCTAAGACTGGTTATTATACAAAATTCACTATTGGTAGAAATAACACTCTGCCAGTCCTTCCTCCCATCTGATTATTATGGGCTTCATTCAGAAGCCGCTGTCGGCCGCAGAAATGCTCCTGGAACCCGACTTGGAGGTGAATGTAGAGCCACATCAGGGCCATTTCCCCCACTGACGTTATTAACTCCTTAACACCAGCAGAGTATAGTCTGTGGTGGTTTTGTGTAATTTCTACGCTGTTGTGATCCTCCATTCTTTAGGCAGGTGTAATAATGCTAACATCGTCATCTGTGCTTCCTTTGGCGGGCTAGCAATGCTAACTGTGACCGCTAATGGGAATCGGTCTGGCATGACCCTTTGGGTAGGCTTGGGCAGTGTTACGGTAACAGGGAATACCGCAGTTTTTCGGATATTTTGCAGTGTTTTGGGTATTTTTCATTCTTGCGGAGAAAATTAGCCCAGGGGTGGACGGTATGACTGCATGAAAGGTTAGCTACCACCTACCTTTGAATTATCTTCAGTGATGCCCCCCTGTGTTTGGGGTCTTCCGTTGGTTTACAAGCCTCTGCTCGGTGCGAAAGTGACGGGAGCGAGCGCCGGTGTAAGCCGGCGTGGGCTCCAGAGAGGATGTGGCACATAGACACCTTACACTTAAATCTTGTCTTCCTGCAATATCCAAACCTTATTGTGCAAAGACGATGATGGAATTCAAATGTCATGGAATTTCTAAAATTCTACAAGGGGTGAAATAAGGGACAGATACCCAGCTAGCTCCAGTGTCACCCCCTTTGATTATAAAAAACCAAGTCATGTGATCACTGATGATCTCACAATGGCAACACCAGGAACCCACATGAGGAAAAGAGGCATTCTGATTGGATGGGGCACCAGCGGAGACAGAGTTTATGGACCACCATTGCCATGTAGATGAATAACTAATATTGATACATCTTTCCCCTAATAAAAACATATCAAAGCCCAACCTGGGAGCCTTTTACCCTAATTAACAGATCAACCCTAAGTGTTCTGCCAGTGAACAATTGCACCCAATCTGAGCTCAGCAAGCATTATTAGTCTTTGGTGGGAAGGCTTTAGACACCATCTAGCCCAGGGGTGGCGAACCTGATCCATGGAGAGCTGGTGCGGTATTTTGGGATGACGACTCAATCAGCCAATAATAAAACAGTTGTTCTCGACTCTAGTCTGGGGGACCCACTGTTATTGGCTGATTGAGAGGTCATCCCAAAAACCCGCACTGGCTCTCCATGGATCATGTTCCGTTCGCCACCCCTGGTCTAGCCAAACAGCGCTAAGAGCCAGAGAGTAAATGGTTAACGCATGCGTTATTTGTGGGTCCTGCCAGTGATGTCAAGGAGACAGAGCCACCTGTGAGCCATAGCAACAAAAGGGTTTTTGCATTTTTATGCTTTAACAACGATTGATTGACGAGCCATAATGTCAAATGAGTTTCTCACTGCGCAGACAAGCTGGCTATGCGCAGACAGGCTGGCTGCGTGCAGTTCTGATTGTGCAAGTTCATACAGCAGCATCAGAACTGTGCTTTATGAACAAAGTACGTGTTCTGACTTATTTTCCACTGTGTATCATCGGAAGCAGATGTTTCCATGGCATGCTTCCTTGTTTGCAGTGTCTGGGGGGGGGGGAGAGACCAAAACCGTCTATAAAGCATTTAAGCAGCGGCCTGATCCAGACTGACCTCCCCCGACCCCCCCTGCATATTAGCCTCTGCTGAATAGGTCAGCTCTTTTTAGCATCACTAGCGAGCTGTTTTGTGTTGTAAACAGCGTGTCAAAATGTCACCTGGAATCCTGTCTTGGCATTCTGGAACCTTCCGGTCTCATCCGTGTCGCCAGTGTAGCTCGGGGTCAGCTGGAGCTGAAGACACTTTGCTTAAAAGGGAAAATGTGAACTTCTGATAAAGTAAACCTTACACCTCGTGATTAAGTATTTATTGTTTGCTACTCCATCGCTATGGACGGGGAGCCTGGCCGTACTGAACATACCTTGATGGTAGAACCCGCTGGATCGTCAGACTGGAACCATATCGCTATCGGGTTTATGACTTTGGCAGAGATCGACTCGCAAGACGAAACCGTTTCAGGACCCGAATTCAGGTCCGGATCCTTAGGTACATAGGAGGTTTTATTTCGTGTTTTTGAGTGTGTGTCTGCGTCTGTGTGTGTTTTCCTGTGCCATATGAATGGATGATTTATGGATTTATGCAAAGTCTGCGTAAATATTAGGAGCTTGTTTTCCATTTATGAAAAGTGAGAAAGGCTCTTTTGATGAGAATTCCCCGTTTGTACACAGTTAAAAGCTTAATAAAATGCTGAAATCCAGATTTTTGAAGCCAACTCACACAGAAACTCTGAACAACATCTTCAGGATTATTTAAAGGTCCTTTCCCCCTGCTTTTCCAATCAAACCTTGATTTATGCTAATAAGGTAGTTTATTAATGTGCAGTCCTGATTTACCACGTCTCTTACTTAATGTCAGGAACGTCATGCAGTCCCTGAATGCGTCTGATTTTCCCTGCAGTCTCTGCCACACGTATCCTGCAAAATTATTCTAGAAACAGTATTCTCAGTATTCCCAGTAGTATCCTTTGTAGAAATACTGGCAAACAGACCTTCTACAGCAAAGATTCTTTTTACAGACGAAAAGCAGGAGACAATCTAGATAATACAATTCACCCTGAAACGTCCCTTTGGTCCATATAGGCAGTACAGTCCAAGCGGTACGTTTTTCTCTCTCTTTGAGTCTCCAAGTCGTTCAAGCATAGCAGAATGATTTTTTCATGTGTGATGAAAAAAGAAGGAAGTCTACCTGAAGCTACCAGACTGTAAGATTTAGCTGCCAGGATATCCACCAGGAAGACCTGGAGAGTCCGTGTTCATTATTCGTGTTTCTGGCTGGTTCCAGAGTTTTGACTCCTTGCAGATTGGTCCTGCACATGAGTGTTTAACAGAGACCTGATTTGGGAAGATGTGGTAACTTGGGCTACTTTGGCTGACCCCTCTTTTATCTTCCCTGCAGGCCGGTCTCACTTGGAGAAGGGGGGAAGGGGCAGTGGTTATCTTGGGTTTCTGCTGAATTTAGGCGCAGCGGGCAAGCTTAATGCTCCGGGGGAAAGATCTGAATTAATACTGAGTCAAAAATTCGGCCACCCAGCCGGGCTAATGTTGACATTCTTTGTTGACAGCTAAAACAAGGTGCCCTCCAATGAAGGCCCGGGCCCAGCCATCCATGACGTGTGTTATTTTTGAGCAGGCCAAAGGAAAAATGAGCGTTGTCATGTTTTGCAGACGTTATTTTCTTTGCCCTCATAAACCACCAGAGAAACACCACTGAGTGTTAAGGGGGGGGGGGGGGGGATCTGTAAAAGACCTGAAGGTGTCTTGTTTTGGAAAATGATGTACCACTGATGGCAACTACATCTTTCAGAAGCTGCAGACAAGTGTTCGGCAGTCATAGTCGATGGGCCATCTTTTAAATAACGATGCATGCACTTCGGCGTGGTGAAGCACGAACACAAGTCGTGTCGTATGATCTGTGCAACCACTACTTGTTTAACGATTACCTCAGTTAGCAACCATTCGTAAATGCTACGGTAATATAAATACGACCAAATTTCGTACACGTGGCAACTACGCACATCAGCGTGAGTGAGATCTTTGAAGCAGAATGTACTAAATGTTGTTAAAAATGTCCACTTTATGAATGATAAAACAAATTGATTATGGAAGGCTGCACTAAAATCGTAAGCATAGTAGCGGTCTCAACTAAGTTACCGTGATTTTCAGTTAGCAACCATCATGCTTAACGACCTAGTCATTGGAATGGAACTTCATCATTAAATGAGGAGAGGATGTATTGCCAGAGTTCAGTTCAGTTCAGGTGTTCGTGTGGGTTCTGCAGTCTTCCTGGTCACGATCTTGAGCTTATCCATCATTTGGTCCACCAGCTAGCCCTGGTCTCTGATAAGCCAAAGAAAATTAGATATTTTTCCAGCTAGCTACACTTAACAAACTGCTTAAACTCGTCGGGCTGGAAATCAGGAACGCTCATTCTCAGAATGCAAACACTGGGACTCCGTCCCAGTAAGATACTCGTAGGCTCTTTATCTTTTGATGCCATTTGCGGTCTCCCGCATCGCGCCGGAGCAAATCAGCCTGAGGAGAAAGCGATGGTTTGAAGCATTTTCTTTACTGCTAGAGAACTGGATGTGAACCAGTACTTCAGTAGTTGGGAACTCCGATAGAAAGCTGCTCCAAACATTGGGCGAAAGCGGGGGCTTCAGATGGAACACTTTTCCTCGAACGACAGACGGATGTTTATTGCACTTAACAGAGCTGGCAGTTTGGACTGCGAGGTTCCTGTTTGCAACTATTTGTAGTTCTGCAGAGTAAACAGCAGGGTACCGTTTACGGGCTGAACGACGGTGTGCTTCTGCGCCGGGGCCCCTAGCCGTTAGCGACAGCTCCTGCCTGAACAGAGCAGCGGGGGCCCGTAAAAGCCCCACCCTGGGGTAGGATGTGTAGATAAAAATTGTGTCTCTGGGACCGTTGTAAGATAATCAGCAAGGGACACTCGTAAATTGAGCCTTTAATGTGAACTGTTGTGCTGGGAAGTTTCTGTCAGTCGCAAAGCCGATTAACCACTGCTGTCAGTAGAGGGCCAGGGGCCCCCGCTTGTAGAACTTTCTGGAATTGGCTCCTTTATACAACAAACCACTTCTCAAGAATGGGGTTAAGTCTACAAAGCTACATAGCCTACAACCGTCTCTGTTTCATTTTGCCAAATGTAATTGTTTGTTTTTTTTTCTGTCTCCTTTCCACAGATTGGTCCTGGGATTTTGGATGCCCGGGAGGTGTCCCTTGCCCGTCTGCGTGGGTGACGTCCCCAACCCCCATCCCGTAACTGCCTGCTGTCGGAAGCCTTGCCGTTGGGTGCCGGAGAAGCACAAGTAAGGTGCTACAGATAGTGAGAGGGTCGCCAGCATCAACGGCTTCGACTGCAGGAAAGGGAGTTCGATGAAAATATGCCTGGTCTGCCTTTTTAAAACAATCTCTCATTTAAAAATGTGTTGTATCAGAGTCCAGGCCAAGGATGACACAGAATTATTATCTAATATTAGACTGGTATGCAAATTCTGCATCTTTTGAAAGTAACGCTCAACGGCTAGTTGCGTAGGTAGGTGCCGTTGCTCTGAGGCTGGTACGCAATGGACTTCTGTGGGGTTTTTTGCTGTATAAGCGGATATGGGCCCAGTTTGCACCACGTGATTGTTATGCAAACAGTGGAGGAAGAGGAGGAGGACCCTGCCTCTGCTAGGCTGCCCCCGAGCTTACAGGTGACATCAGCGCCACTCGGGGAAATGGGGCCTCCCATGTCGAGAATATTAAAGCTCTCCCCAGGTCCATTTTCACCGACTTAATGCGAAATGTGTTTCCACAACAAATTTAATGGCATATGGTTTGGGAGCTCCAAGATGAAGCAAGCTGGCTGGGAGTTGGGGGGGTGGCTTGTTCCTGGAGATCGATATAGCAGAAGCTCTCCTGGGTTATTTTAGGAGCACATAGTGACAGCGTTATTAATGGATTCTACTTAGGAGTCAGATTCTTCCAAGTTTCCCTAAGCTCTTCTCAGGGATGAGCACTCTTAAAGAGGAACAAGCACGGTACGGACCTTCACAGTTTCTGCTGCTTACCGCGGTCTTGTTTATTTTCATAAAATCTAGCCTGGCTTCACACCAAATTCCTGTCAGGCCTAAGGCTTAGGTGAAAACCTCACGAGTGACACTTCATGCCTCTCCTTCTAAAAACAAGTAGAAGCTCCTAAGCCTTTTTGTAGTCACGTGACCAAACATGCCTGGCAAAGATTTTCGCCTCGGTATGGTGAGAATGTAGAATCGCAGCCTCACTGGGCCTTGCGATCCAGCGCTGTCAGTCGTGATTGACAGTTCCTGGGGATTTCGGGGGAAAGACTTCAGGGCAGTGAAAGACAGAGCCAAGGTGTAACACTGACAGCCGATTATGAAAGCATTGCGCTTCCTAATTCCCAAGTCAGATCATATCATCTATGCATAATTTGGCTACTCATTGCTTTCCGTCCTGAGTTCCCAGTGATGACTCATCATTTTAAAG